AAACCTACCTACTGGTAAGATCCAAGGTATGGTGAGCAAATTCTGCTCTGAAATACTGATTACCTCATAATCTGTAATAGAATAAATTTACTCAAGACTTGTATTGAATTTGCCTATGAAATATAAATTAGCCTATAAGCTAGGGCCTACATGTATACAGGAAAATTGAATTCAAGTGAAATAGTCATCCTGTTTAAGACCCTGATAACCAAGTGCAATACTATGAGTTTAGAAGAAACGTGCCATAATAACCCATGTAGTTGTATATAAATTATTTAGACAATTTTGACCCACCTATTTCAAGAAGGAAGAAACAGCATATCGCTGTACGTATGACAGGTTTAATAGATGTCAATCAAAAAGGAACCTCGGAAATAGTTAACAACATAATACGTCATGTACTAAGTAAATCTAGGTCTTAAATCGTCAATAAGGTATAAAACTGATATTTAAACCACTTGTATATACTGGCTGAAAGCATATTATATAAATGTTCACTCACCTGAGACATAGTTCCTCAAACCAAGTTTCCCTGCTACAGTATTCATCAACCGGCGGCCACACTCATCCAGCCCGGTAGTACTACCTACCTGGCAGATCCGGCTTACCTTGCACACATAGACGCCAGGCACAGGTGTTGATTTGCAGTCTCTCACTCCGCTCTACTCTCCGTTCGTGTTGGAGTCCGCCAGGGTTTGTGCCCTGCTGACCTCTTACCTCCCCTCTGCTTCAGGGTTACTAATTCCTGGTCGGTCCACGAACTGTGAGTTTTCCCAAAAACGTCCACATGCATGCTACATTTGGTTGCCGCACGGCTCACATACAGTATCTCACAAAACTAAGTACACCCCTCACATATTTGTAAATATTTTATTATGTCTTTTCATGTGACAACACTGAAGAAATGACACTCTGCTACAATGTAAAGTAGTAAGTGTACAGCCTGTATAACAGTGTAAATTTGCTGTTCACTCAAAATAACTGAAGAGACAGCCATTAAAGGACCACTATTGGTACCCAAACCACTTCAGCTCAATGAAGTGGTCTGGGTGCCAGGTCCATCTAGGATTAACCCTGCCTGCTGTAAACATAGCAGTTTCAGAGAAACTGCTATGTTTACATATGGGTTAATCCAGCCTCTAGTGGCTGTCTCATTGACAGCCGCTAGAGGAGCATCTGCGCTTCTCACTGTGATTTTCACAGTGAGAAGACACCAGCGTCCATATGGACACTTGCCGCACATGCGCATTCAGACGATGACTGCAGAAGAAGGAGGAGATTCCCCAGCGCCGAGGAAGCCCGGCGCTGGAGAAAGGTAAGTGTTTAACCCCTTCCTCACCCTAGAGCCCGGTGGGAGGGGGACCCAGAGGGTGAGGGAGACCCAAGGACCCTATAGAGCCAGGAAAACGAGTATGTTTTCCTGGCACTATAGTGGTCCTTTAATGTCTAAACCGTTGGCAACAATTGTGAGTACACCACTAAGTAGAAATGTCCAAATGGAGTGCTCAGGCAGCTGCCGCACTGCCTCTCTCCTCATCTCACCTCCCCTTCCCTGTAGCGTGGCCGAGTTCCTCTCCGGTCCGCGGTACAGGAAACAGAAGCTCCTGTACCGCGGACCGGACAGGAGCTCGGCCACGCTACAGGGAAGGGGAGGTGAGGAGAACACGGGGTGGGGGTTAAAGTTCACTATTTGTCTGCACTAGACTGGAAATAATGACAAAATCCCCCTTAACACCACCCACACTTAAACATAATAATATAACTATTACTATTTTAACGCTGCCACCACGAAGACAATTTATAAATGGGGTGCCTTGGTCCCCCAGATAAACTTAATAATTAAAAACCCACCAAATGTAACTTAGCACAATATCTAGGTAACTACAAAATACTAATTAGTCTCGTCAGGTAAAGTGATTCTTTTACCAGACAAAGAATATTTATTATGAGCAAAAAAGAATGGTCACAGTGCATAAAAATATAGATGATAAACAAATTATTTACACCAAAAACAGATAAAAAACAAAAAAGAATAAAATGGCAGAAATCCTAATCATTTATGCAGCTCTTCAAAGTAACACTTCTGCCCCAGGGGGTCTCAGGTAGGAAAGATGGTGACTCACTTAGAAATTGGATTCTGACCCCAAGCAAGTACCTCAGCATCCCTCTAAATCATTGGATATATACCCTGTGGATTATCAAGTCTTGCCCAGGGGTGGAGTTAATGCTTACCTATAGAAATAATAAGTGAATACCTTCTTTGTTCCAGACCAACGTCAATCCAAATGGAAACATTTGGCTCTATCTTCTCTTATGTACCTGCCAGAGAAATAATAATTGCATCTACGAATTTGTTATTATTTTCCCATTCCCTAGACATGTCGCACCTCCCACCCGCGACCCAACCTGGCGGACATCACAGTTCCCTCCCCCATGGTAAAGCCATGCCACTCATGTTTGGGCTTGTTTAGAAGATGGCGCTTGTCACGTTCCAAATATAACAAAAATGAGGCTTAATTATTATTCTGTGGGGTAAATATGAATGATTTTTCCTGCCTTTGGATATGATACTGGAAGAAGGCTAATGGTCATTAACACGTCAAAAGAGATTGACTCATCAATTACAAGGTACATGCCAAATGGATAAAGAGACATTCAGACTTTTTCCAAGTGTAGAACCTCACACCTTGCAGAGCCTTGATTAATTCACATCCATATGGTAAAATCCTTTTCACCTCCCTATGTCATCTTACCTTGGTGGGGGGTCCCAGCATCAAAAGATCTAACTCCTTTTGATCTTGACAATACCATCTCTGCCAGGCTGGCAGGTCCTTAATGCACTACACAAATTACATTAAAGGACAATATTCCATAGTGCAAAAATAAATTGTGCACCCTTGCCGTGACAGGTATTAGTTACAAAAATTTGAAAAAAACACAAAAGCAAAAATTATTCATGACAAAAAGGGCATTTATCTTTATGTGACAGATTATTAATCCCAGTACTGAATGCTCATGAAATATAAACTTAAACATCACATGATCTAAAGATAATCTTTATTTCGTAAGTTTGTCATAGAAGAAATGGGTTTCAAATAGGCGAAAAAAAGAAAGAAGATATAGATACAGTGCTGTCTTGCAAAGTGTATGGAATCTCCCAGTATTTTACTCAGTATTACTGACGAATTCTTTCCTGGCATGAAATAGTTTTTTAGTATTTATATAATACTTTATTTTAGATTATAAGAAGATAATGGTGAAATAGTGGTTTAAAAAGTAACTTTTATTGTATGTAATTAAAAATAGTTCCCAAATATAGGGATACTAAGATGATAATTTGAAATTGTACTTGCTTAAAGAAAAAAAAAATTAGAAAAAAAAAATCATAATCCTAAATCATAGAAAAATAATAATAATAATAATAGTAGAACAAATAATAGTAGATATAGTATAAAATAATCTGGTTCCTCCAGGAAGGGAAACTATGCATATAAGAGATATAAACTGCTCAAAAAAATAAAGGGAACACAAAAATAACACATCCTAGATCTGAATGAATTAAATATTCTTCTGAAATACTTTGTTCTTTACATAGTTGAATGTGCTGACAACAAAATTTAAAAATGGAAATCAAATTTTTCAACACATGGAGGTCTGGATTTGGAGTCACACTCAAAATTAAAGTAGAAAAACACAATACAGGCTGATCCAACTTTTATGTAATTAAAACAAGTCAAAATGAGGCTCAGTAGTGTGTGTGGCCTCCATGTGCCTGTATGACCTCCCTACAACACCTGTGCATGCTCCTGATGAGGTGGCGGATGGTCTCCTGAGGGATCTCCTCCCAGACCTGGACTAAAGTATCTGCCAACTCCTGGACAGTCTGTGGTGCAATGTGACGTTGGGGGATGGAGCGAGACATGATGTCCCAGATGTGCTCAATTGGATTCAGGTCTGGGGAACGGGCGGGCCAGTCCATAGCATCAATGCCTTCGTCTTGCAGGAACTGCTGACACACTCCAGCCACATGAGGTCTAGCATTGTCTTGCATTAGGAGGAACCCAGGGCCAACCGCACTAGCATATGGTCTCACAAGGGGTCTGAGTCTCATCGCTGTACCTAATGGCAGTCAGGCTACCTCTGGCGAGCACATGGAGGGATGTGTGGCCCCCCAAAGAAATGCCACCCCACACCATTACTGATCCACTGCCAAACCGGTCATGCTGAAGGATGTTGCAGGCAGCAGAACATTCTCCATGGTGTCTCCAGACTCTGTCATGAACCTGCTTTCATCTGTGAAGAGCACAGGGTGTCGGTGGCGAATTTGCCAATCTTGGTGTTCTCTGGCAAATGCCAAACGTCCTGCACGGTGTTGGGCTGTAAGCACAACCCCCACCTGTGGACGTCAGGCCCTCATACCACCCTCATGGAGTCTGTTTCTGTCCGTTTGAGTAGACACATGCACATTTGTGGCCTGCTGGATGTCATTTTGCAGGGCTCTGGCAGTGCTCCTCCTGTTCCTCCTTGCACAAAGGCGGAGGTAGCGGTCCTACTGCTGAGTTGTTGCCCTCCTACGGCCTCCTCTACGTCTCCTGATGTACTGGCCTGTCTCCTGGTAGCGCCTCCATGCTCTAGACACTACGCTGACAGACACAGCAAACCTTCTTGCCACAGCTCGCATTGATGTGCCATCCTGGATGAGCTGTACTACCTGAGCCACTTGTGTGGGTTGTAGACTCCGTCTCATGTTACCACTAGAGTGAAAGCACCGCCAGCATTCAAAAGTGACCAAAACATCAGCCAGGAAGCTTAGCAACTGAGAAGTGGTCTGTGTTCACCACCTGCAGAACTCCTTTATTGGGGGTGTCTTGCTAATTGCCTATAATTTCCACCTGTTGTCTATCCCATTTGCACAACAGCATGTGGAATTGATAGTCACTCAGTGTTGCTTCCTAAGTGGACAGTTTGATTTCACAGAAGTGTGACTGACTTGGAGTTACATTGTGTTGTTTAAGTGTTCCCTTTATTATTTTGAGCAGTGTAAGTCATGAGGACAAACAAACTATCCAAAAAGTATCTGATCTTGATTATGTGGATAACAATGTTATCAGTCCACCACTAGATGTCACTCAATAGCTGTGTTCAGTCCTGTAGGGAATTGCTACTTAGTAGCCAAAGTTATTATTAATATTACTATTATTGCCATTTATATAGCGCCAACAGATTCCGTACAATATTATGAGAAGGGTGATTTAACTAGAAATAGGACAATTACAAGAAAACTTACAGAAATAATAGGTTGAAGAAGACACTGCTCAAACAAGCTTACAGTCTATAAGAGGTGGGGTATAAAACACATTAGGACAGGAAATAGCAATGAAATAAGGTGGGAGTGAAGCAGAGCTGGAGGAGACAGTAAAGTGCTACCCTTTAGGAGAGAGCAAGAGACAGGTATGTGAGAAGAGGTTACTCTGGGAGGCCATAAGCTTTCCTAAAGAGCTGGGTTTTAAGGCACTTCTTAAACAATTAAAGACCAGGGGAGAATCTGAAGGTGGTAGGCAGGCTATTCCATAGGAAGGAAGCCACCTGCGAGAAGTCCTGCAAGCGTGAGTTTGCCGTATGGTGCGAGCAGTGGACAGGAGAAGGTTACGGGCAGAGCAGAGAGACTGATAAGGGGCATACCTATGGATCTGTGAAGAGATATAAGAGGAGCTAGAATTGTTCATTGCTTTATAGGTATGGGCTAGCACTTTGAATTGACTCCTATAGGGTACAGGAAGCCAATGTAAGGACTGACAGAGGGGTGAGGTGTGAGAGGACCAACTAGAGAGGAAAATCAGTCTGGCAGCAGCATTCATTACAGACTGTAGTGAGGCAATACGGCTTTTGAGAAAACTAATTACGAGAGGGTTGCAATAATCCATGTGGGAAATACTAGAGCATGAACAAGCTCCTTGGTAACATCTTGCATAAGAAAGGGGCGGATGCGGGCTATGTTTTTAGGATGGAATCTACAGGATTTGGCAACATACTGGATGTGAGACTCAAAGGTGAGGCCAGAATCAAGTATGACGCCACGACAGCGCACTTGCAAGGATGGACTTATGTGCATACCACTAACTTGAAGGGAGGGAGAGAGAAATAGGACGATCAGTGTTAGCAGGAGGAGAGACAAGAAGCTCAGTTTTAGAGAGATTGAGTTTCAGAAAAAAGGAGGACACCCAGTCAGAGATGGAAGAAAGGCAAGCAGTGACTCGTTGCAGGATGGCAGGGGAGAGGTCCAGGGAGAAGAGATATATCTGGGTGTCATCAGCGTACAGGTGATAGTGGAATCCAAATGAGGTAATAAGTTTGCCAAGAGAGGCAGAATAAAGAGAAAATAGAAGGTACCAAGTACAGAGCCTTGGGGGACTCCAACCGAGACAGGACGAGGGGAAGAGGTTTCATTAGAAAAGGAGACACTGAATGAGCGTTGGGAGAGTTAAGTGAGACATACGGGTAAAGACAAGTCTTTCCAGAAACTTTGAGGAAAAAGGGAGCAGGGATATGGGACGATAGTTAGAGGGGGAGGACGGGTCAAGAGATTTTTTTCAGGATAGGTACTACAGTGTAGGGATGTGCATGGACAAAAAGTTTGGTTCGAAATTTGGAACTTTGGCAATTTGGGACTTTGGCAATTCGGGACTTCGGCACTTCCAAAATTCGGGACTTCAGCACTTCGGTTCAGAACCCTAACCCCTAACCCTACCCCTAACTCCTAACCCTACCTCTAACCCTAACCCCACCCATAACCCTAACCCCTAATCCTAACCCAGCCCTAACCTTACCCCTAACCCTAAACCTTAAGGTCAGCAGGGACAACGCCAGAAGAGAGAGCAGTTGAAGATATGTGTTAAGGAAGAGGGGAGAGAGATCTGATAAGGTGAGATGGGACAGGATCGAGCAGGCAAGTGGTGGGGCGAGAGGGAAATGTGGAGATGGCCAGTGAGGAACAGAAGAGAGAAAGGGATGGATAGCTATAGTTGTGCATCAATATCAATAAAATTAAGGCTCCTCTTGAGTTGAGGGGGGTTAGGCTGAGGTAGTTGGGTGAGGGGGTACTTGAGAGCAAATGATAAGAGGTGGTGATCAGAGAGAGGAAATGGAGTGTTGCATATATTAGATACTGTACATGCATAAGAGAAAATGAGGTTGAGGGTATTGACAGCTACATGGGTGGTTGAATTAGCCCACTGTGATAGCACTGTAATTAAAAGTAGTTTAGAGGCTGCTGAGATCAAACGTGGGTTAATGGGAATATTGAAGGCTCCGAGAATTAGGGATGGAATATTAGAAGAGAGGAAGTAGAGTAGTCAGGCAGCAAAGTGGTCAAGGAAGAGGAGAGGGGGACCAGGATGGGTGATAAATAACTGCAATGTTAGCAGATTTAGGGGTAATTATTTCTGATGACTTAAAGGTAGGCAGACAATGTAATAGAGCAGCAGGAAATGCTAGCAGAATGCTTGGTTGTATAGGGAGAGGTATTAGCAGTAGAAAGAGGGAAGTGCAGCACACTACTAAGCAAATTATTCACAGACTAGCTCAGGACAAGACTGATACAACAGACGACGGAAGTCTGACCCGCCCTCCCCTCTTACCTAACCCCTACTTCCCTGGTTTTCTATTCCTCTCTCTCTCTGCTCCCCCTCTACCTTACTCTCAACCACAGAGTTTACCACTGACCATTCCCATAAGCAGTACTTGGGCCACAGGCTTCAGTGGTGGGCAGATACACTACATGGGACCAGAAGTCAAGGACCAAGGCCGGTTTAACTTATTTTTGTATAAATATTCAAGGGATTGGGAACCCGGAATACCCGAAATCCACCGGTTGTGTATTCCTCACAAATAGGGAGATGTTTAATCAGTTTCAAATGTATATTATGGTATTTATGATGTGAATCACACTAGTCAAGGTTTTTCCAGTTTTATTGTTTCCGCATTGCTAATCCTGTTGATAAGGACCTGCGTGTCCCAATGTGAAACTGTTTTGAAATACCTTATCTGACTAAACAAAGAATTCTATCCCTGTTGCAGGGGACCTGCATGACCCACTGTGTAACTGATTTGAACTAACATATTGAACTAAATAATGGCAATTGAACAAAGAAAATACCAATAAAAACATATTTACAAAATAATAAAGAGGGAAGTGCTCATGCCATTGTACAGAACACTGGTGAGACCTCACTTGGAGTATTATACGCAGTACTGGAGACCGTATCTCCAGAAGGATATTGATACTTTATAGAGAGTTCAGAGAAGGGCTACTAAACTGGTTCATAGATTCCCGGATAAAACTTACCAGGAAAGGTTAAAGGAACTTAACATGTATAGCTTGGAGGAAAGACGAGACACGAGGGATATGATAGAAACATTTAAATATATAAAGGGAATCAACTCAGTAAAGGAGGAGACCATATTTAAAAGAAGAAAAAATACCACAACAAGAGGGGCAAAGGTTTAAAAATAATATCAGGAAGTATTACTTTACTGAGAGGGCAGTGGATGCATGTAATAGCCTTCCAGCTGAAGTGGTAGAGGTTAACACAGTAAAAGAGTTTAAGCATGCGTGGAATAGGCATAAGGCTATCCTAACTATAAGATAAGGCTAGGGACTAATAAAATTATTTTGAAAATTGGGCAGACTAGATGGGGTGAATGGTTCTTATCTGCCGTCACATTATATGTTTCTAAGAGAAGGGTTTGAAAAGGTGAATTGAATACATTTTAAATGATGGGAAAGAGAGGTAATTAGCGATGAAAAACCAGAGGAGATAACATTTGAGATAAAAAGATATGAAGGATCAGATAGGTGAAAGTCATAAACAGTGAACATAAATTTACAAGACTATCAGTGAAAGAAGTAACAATAGCTAAACAAACAATTAACAAAAAAGTCATAAAGAATGAACATAAAATAACAAGACTATAAATGCACCAACTTTAAAAAAAAAAAACCCAGAAGATCAGGATGGGAGATATAATAGTAATCAATTAAATAGTGAGAATATAGTTCTGCAAGACATTAAAGTTTCCAATTTTCCTGCAGAATGATTCCTAAGGCTAAATGACCCTATGCACAACCAAACAGAGAGGAGTTGAGAAAACTATTGGAGATAGCCAGGATAGAGTACAAGTATCCCTAACTCAGAAGGTTAACAGTGTCAGAAGTTGTAAAATGTTTGAGTAAAGTGTAAGAGCCTCCTGGTTCTGGAGATACACCAGTAAGCACCCGGCGCCATTGCCGGGATCATTAGGGTTTTCTCAATTCTTCTCTATTTAGTTGGGAATAGGGTCATTTATTTTAACTAACCTTATACTACTCGATTACTGGACACACAGCATGGAGGGAACATGTGCCGACTGACAAATAAGTAGGGATTAGTTATTTTGCCAATTTTTAGACTATATCAAGGACCAACCGGCACATTTCCTATTCTCCCAGATTTATATCCTTGTTTGATTTCTGGATGCACACTATAGCCTTAGGAATCATTCTGCAAGGAAACTTTGATTTTATGCATGATTCTTTTTCAACTGCAGACTAAATTTGAATGACACACAAATCCCTCCGCTAAATATGATTTCAAAAGTCTGATCAGTATTATCCAGGTATATTTCTTTGCTTTTAGTAAAACTTAATTCATTTAAATTAAATTACACCAGCATATTTACCAGCTTTCTTGTTAGAAATTCTTTAGTCTTGGAGATATAATCCATGAATAGTGCATGCAAGTATGTGTTTAGAGAGAGAAGCGTAGAAAGATATCCAGAGTTCTGTAAATTTTCTAAGTCACAGTTGTCTGGCTAACAAAGAAATTTAGTTGGAAAGGAGGAGAATGTTAGGTGTATCCAGAATGTATTTCTTTGTCCGGTCTCATCTGATGATCTTACATCCAACCCTCTGGATCTGACCTTGAATCTGTCCTCTCTTTCGATCTCTCTTCAATTTTTAAAGAAAATCTTTAAGTTTAAGTTTCTTTATGTCACTAAATTAAAGTGGCCAATTGGACTAGGTGGGTGTACCTTCTTCTACTGATTGTCTTATAGACTTTGATCAGTAGATGGCGTTATAGCATCACAATCATTTCTCATTACGAATTCGAACTATCACTTTGTTTAAGGAGTTAATTAAATTTTGTGATGCAATTGACTTCACAAATGTCTTATATTTATGACACATCAATCAAGCTAACTGTCAAACTTCACAAAATGTTGTTAGACTAGCTGTCTCCTTTTCAGGCTGTAAAGTATGATTTTGACGCATCTGGACTTTGTTTCAACTCTCTCTTACAATGGGTTTCTTGAAGGAATTACACT